GCAGGAGCCTAATGAAATATCCTAATGAAAATTCTAAGAAATGGTAATGAAAGTGCCAAGGAGCCTAATGAAATATCCTAATGAAAATTCTATGAAATGGTAATGAAAGTGCCAAGGAGCCTAATGAAATATCCTAATGAAAATTCTATGAAATGGTAATGAAAAAGCGCAGGAGCCTAATGAAATATCCTAATGAAAATTCTAAGAAATGATAATGAAAAAGCGCAGGAGCCTAATGAAATATCCTAATGAGAATTCTAAGAAATGATAATGAAAAAGCGCAGGAGCCTAATGAAATATCCTAATGAAAATTCCTTTGAAATGGTAATGAAAAAGCGCAGGAGCCTAATGAAATATCCTAATGAAAAGTCTCAGAAATGGTAATGAAAAAGCGCAGGAGCCTAATGAAATATCCTAATGAAAAGTCTCAGAAATGATAATGAAAGGGCCAAAGAGCCTAATGAAATATCCCCATGATATCTCATTATCCTTGTCTATAACTTATGAAAGATTCCAGTGATAAATTGAATGAAATAGATGGGCAATCCTAATGAGATGCCTTTCATAAAACCTGTGGCATTATACACAATGGCTCTTGGACAGTTGTCATAGATTAATCATAAAAGTGGTAGCCACCAGTCAACCTATTGCACCGTTCACTTGCGAATTTTCGTCACGCTACCAGAATCACAAGAGACCTGTGCCTTTTGATTGTCGATATGTCTCCATTTCTGACTTCCTCACAAACGTTATGTATAAACCAAATTCTGAAGACATCGTTGAGCGTTTTATGGTCTCAATTGATCATATTGCATTCTTGGGGCAGCAAAATACTTCTACAGCTATTCCGAATACATTGGATAGTAAGTGCTATTTACCTGCCCAACTTTCCGGTTTCATTGATGTTCCCTTAGGTCCCTTTAAGACGCCGCGTCGTGGAAAAAGCCTGATCGACTACAAACGTGGTAGACCATCTACACCAATTACAACTACCATTGTTTCACCTACCACGCCAGCCACTCCGACTCCGGCTCAAGGCCCTCCTTAGGCATTGTCACGGGTAACCCCCGGGTACTTTCGGCCTTACCCGTACCCCTACCCCTGGAAACCCATACCCTCAACCACGGGTACGGGTTTCTGCGGGTAAGGGTACGGGTTCTGGTGGGTTTGGCGGGTTTGGCGGGTCTTACGGGTTTGGCTCCACAGTAAAGGGTCACCATTGGTCGAGGAACGTTCAGAAGCAGTGCGCTTGTGAGGTTGGGTGGGTGCATTGGACGAAGACATGGTGGGAATGGGAGGGATGGTTCGGCGAACGTACTTCCTGTCTTTTAAAAAAATGTTGCGATGATTGGGGGTTACAATGAAGCGGGGAAGGATACACAGATGTGCCGCGTCTCAAGAGTTCGCGGGTCAAAGACACACCATGGGTTCTAGAGTCAGCTTCTAGGCTCAAGGGATTACAAAGGCAGGTCAAAGACACACCGTGTATCGAGGGTATACGCGTCAAAGACGTGCCATGGGTTGTTATCAATTAACTACATCATCTGTGTACGTTACTTTCGTTTTGTAAGGACGAATCAATGTTATTCGTGTATTTGAGAGCAAGTACAGTGTATCATGCCAAAACTAAGTAATGTAAAACTACGTATGATTATACCTACGGCATACCTACTGTAAATACAACGAGAAGGGTGTACATTATGTCTACAGTGTACATAACAACTATACTACATTACTATATAAGCGTGGAGGGGAGAGGGAGTGGAGAAAGAAAGAAAAGAAATGAGAAAGACACTCAAGCGCTATATATCCAAGCCACTTTAGGGCGGGTTTGGGTTTAGGG